GGAAGAAATGGTTCTGTCTGAAGGCATGGCTGGAATTCAGTTCAGTGTTACAGGAAAGCGTGGTGATCCTGCCCTCCTATTTATGGGCATGCTCAGGAGGTGTCAAACCCTTGAAGACAGCAGTGACATATGTGGTTTTCTTAAAGCCAGTTCAGTCCAGCTCATCACCAAAACAGGATTCCTACCACAGGGACTGTGCCCTCCCTACCCGTACAGCAGTGGCTCCCCAACCAGGGACCTCCTCTGTTCATGTCTCAGGCTCCCTGCTCCCCACCCCATTGTCATCCACCTTTCTGTGGACTCTACTTGAATCACATGTGCTCTAAAATCACTGGTCCCTCATGGGACACTGATTCCATCCAGTCTCCTTGGACTTGGAGCCTAGCTGTTTCCTGGGCCCAGCCTGCTTTTCCAACATATTACCTCCCGCCACACTCCTGGGTGGACAGTGAACCCAGCCCCTCCCTGGGGCACTCTGCCTTTTGATCAAGGGCACAGCTCAGTGTTCTAGAGCTTATAAGGGGCTTCATAGACCCTTCCCCATTTCCAGTCACCTTCCTCTAGATATGCTTCAGTTTGCCACGTCCACTGGACCTCTGTTACCATGACCAAGGTCAAATGTCACCTCACAAAGGCCACACCCCCATTCTTGGTCCTAACTGACCACCAGCTCTTAACTCTAAGCCTGTTACTGGATCATTAACCTGCCGGTAAATATAAGATGTGCTTCCTTCCACTTATCCACATACCCTCCATTGTTGAATTCAAGAAGAGAGTCTTAAAGTTGAAGGAACCTTCTTGTATCAAAAATCAGGAGACCTTGGAAGACAGTCTGTTAAATGAAGGACCCACAAGAGTAAAATAATTACATGATTGGTGGATACTTTGGGATAGAGGAGCCTGATTCCCCCTCATAACTTATATAATGACAGCTTCTTTCTGGCTTGGAGGGAAGGGCCAGTGAAGCACGAAGCCCAAAGCAGGGTTTTCAAGTTCTAGAAGAGCTGGTGTGTATGTGTGTGTGTGGACAGCACATGCATGGCTGTGCATAACATCCCAGGGTTCTCCCAGCCTGAAAGATAGATTCAGAGACAGAGAGAAAAAGCTCTGCCCTTCTTTCCTGGACGGCCCTCCCCAGCACACCCGACAGATCGCACTTCAGAGGAGGGGTGTGGGCAGGGCCCTGCAAGCTGGATTTAAATGACAGGAAGTCTTCTGTAGAAACCAAGAAGAAAGGGTCCGCTCTGAAGATGTATTACAGACCTCCCCAAGCTTCCCACTTATGTCATCTTACTTTGTAGAAGCGACCCACACCTTGGGTTTGCGCTTGGCAATTTACATCTCCTCCCGTCACTCTGATCAATTTCCAAATTCATAGTCTCCCTTCTATGCCCTCGTTCTTCATTTCTAAAGGAACTGCAAACGTCGCACTCTGATTTTGTTGGTGGTGATGGCGATGCCTCCTCAGAAGATAGGCCCGTTTATCTTTATATAAGCCTGAGAAAAGAATCCAGATAGATGATTACTGATTCTTTTATCTCGTTCTGGGCTTCCAGTGAGTAGCTTTCTTGCCTGGGATCCTCTGTACAGCTGGGAGAAGCACGGAACTGAGGTGCTGACAGCTTGTGTTGGAATCACATGGTGTTTACTGTGCTGTGACTTTATAACAGCCTTGTTTCCATACTGACAGCAAATGCCATATGGAGAGAAAAACTCCTGTCAGATGAACCCTTAAGGAATCACAATATGGTACATGAAATCTCTTAATTGCTTTTGGAAGTAGGGAGGGGCACATTGCTCAAATCACATTAAACCCTGCAGTTCTCTCTGCCATAATTGAATAAAACCGGAGTTTGACACTAGGTAATTTACTTTCATTCTGTGTTTGTGCTGGGGAGGTTCAGCTGATTGGGAAAGGGTGAGGAAGTTTGTTTTCCTCACCTCGGGGAGGTGGGGGGAATCAGGTCTAGTGGGAGGCGGTGAGAATGCAGGCTGTATCTACAGGGTATCACGCTAACAGGTGCGAGCTACAGACCTGCCACCCTCTTAGCTCCCTCCTTCCCAGATTCCCTACTGTGGCTGATAATAACACTCATCTAACTTGACATTTTATTACTGTCACTTGGGATCTTGTCTGCTCACCCACACACTCCACCCTTTCCAACAGAATCCAAGCTTCCTGAGGGCTGGGACTGCATCCCGTTCCCCACCCCCACCCCACCAATTCTGGCCCACACTGAGGTGGCTTAAATGTTTGTTGGAATGGCTATTTGTGAACCATCTGTGCGTGGAAAGGTAAGCGAGTTAAGGCAACAGTCCAAGGCTAGTTTCAGCCCCCAAACCAAGGGGATCAAGAAGGGAACTTGAAGGTGGCTATCCATGTTGATCAAAGTATCCATTCAGGAGAGAATGAGAAATGTTTGAGTGCCTTCTTATACACACTGTACTTAGAACTGGTGAATCCCCACAAAAAGTTGCTGCCCTTGGGCAGTTTACCCATGAGAGAAGTGGGCTGTAAAACTCTCCAGGCTGTATGCCTAGTCACTTGCTCTTCAAGTTGCCAACAGACAAAAACCCAACAAGAACTGACTTCAGCACTCTGTCAGGTAAATAAATGGGCAGGCACCAGGCTGGCCTCGGTGAGGCTGGCTTCAGGGGCTCCTGTGATGTTGGCAGCGCGGGGTTTCTTTCTTCTGCATTCAACCCCATCTTCCCCTGCTTCACTCTCTGTGGGTTCTCACTGCCTAGTGGGAAAGACAGTTGTGGTAGCTCTTAGTTGACTGATCCTAACACCTTGGCATCCCAGGGAAAAACAAGCATCTCTCCCTTAACTTCTAGAAGACTCCTACCCACTCATGTCATGCGCCTTGAACCTATCATTGTGGCCTGGGGACAGAGGGGGTTCTGATTGGCTGGGGCCACGTCACATGCCTGTTTCTGAACCTATCACTGTGGTAAAAATGGGGATCTCTGATTGGCTAGGGCTGAATCATGTGCCCATCCTTCACCCTATCATGTGGCTGGGAGATGAGGGCTCTGGTTGGCTAGAACTGGGTCACATGCCCATCGTGAGGCTCCCTTAGAGCCTAAGGCTGGTTTTTTTTTTTTTTACAGTCTCAGGGAACAGAGATTCCTTGAAGGAATGGAGACAGAACAGACCAAGAGACCCACAAACTCGGTGATATCAGATGGTATTTAGTAAGCATTATCTATATGTTAGGTTCTGTTCTGAGTCTTTTCTATGCATTGTCTTATTTAATCCTCACGACAGCCCTAGAAGATAGGTATAATTAGTGTCCCCAGTTTACAGATGAGGAGACTGGGGGATGAAAGTGTTAAGTCAGATGCCTCAGGACACACTGGCAGAGCATGGTGAGGCTGGCGTTTGAACCCCAGGCAGTTTAGCTCCAGAGCCCATGCTCACAGCCACCACTCTCCCTACAAGTCATGGCTTTACTTTTTTTTTTTTTTTTAAAGATTTTATTTATTTATTTGACAGAGAGAGACACAGCGAGAGAGGGAACACAAGCAGGGGGAGTGGGAGAGGGAGAAGCAGGCTTCCCGGGGGGGCGGGGGGCCCGATGCGGGGCTCGGTCCCAGGACCCTGGGATCATGACCTGAGCCGAAGGCAGACGCTTAACGACTGAGCCACCCAGGCGCTCCAGGGCTTTACTCTCTGTGGATAAACTCTTTCTTTGGTTGTGAAAGTGAGTGGACGTGACGGTTGTGTTCATATCTCCTTGTGTTCCTTGTCTTCAGAGAAATCCCCTTTCCAGGGATGATTGTCCTTTTTCCTCCTCTGGGTTCAGCGAGGATACAGTCATTCTTTCTGTTCAGGTTGCCCTCCTGAAGTCATTATAACCCTCTTCCCGGTTTCCCCATGAGGTCCCCTGACCGTTTCTAAGGCAGTTGCACAAAGGTCCAATGATCAGTGCTTGAGAGGGTCAGAGGCAACATGTCTCAGTCAGTCCATTGAGCATCTTTCTGGCCAGAAGAACCTCCAACAGAGGCTTTAGCATTGTTGCAGGAAGAGCCAGAAGGTACCTTCCCCCCCACCCCAGTCTTACCTCCAACATGTGCCTTTATTGTCCAGAGGGAGACTGAGGCCCAGAGAGAGCAAGGGAGTTGCTTCAAGTCACATAGCAAGTCACTGGCTAGCACCTGGTACCCAGGCCTCCAGGCTTGGAGTCTTGCGCTGCATTTCCTCTTTGGAACTCTCCTGGCTGCTGTGTGGCTGGGGGCCGGTCACTTCTTGTTTCCATGCCTCTAGTTCCTCAGCTGGAAAATGCAGGGTTTTCATAATTTGACGTGCTTTGAATTACAAGTAATTTTTAAATCTTTTCAAACTGCCCTAAACAAAGCTCATAAATAAACTTTTCAGATGTGGTTTGAGCTGCAGGCATGGTTTGATCCAGAGATTCATGACACCACGAGGACACCAACTTTACTTTCTGTCATTTGCTCAGCCCTGACCTCCTCTGTGTGTGAGCCCCGTCATCACAGCAGCCCCCCTTGCAGCGTCTAGAGCACTGCATCAGACCTTGACCTCGCACCCATGCACCCCAGCCCCCAGAGGAAGAAAGGGCAGTTCTGCTCAGCGTGCCCAGCCACAGTCTGTGGTCCACTCCGACTGGAACTGGCTTGGGTCACATGCCTGCCACCCTTATCCAGTCACTAAGTGGGCAGTGTGACATGGTGATCGGCCATCCAGGGGGGCAGAGGCACCGTCCGCAGAACTGCTGCTATCTGGCATAGAGGAGTCAGGGCGTCGGAAAGGGGGAGTGGGCTAAGAACTAGACGTTGGGGCATAACTGGCGCCTTCCTCTAAACCGCCCTTGTCCCCTCTGAGTCTGCCCAGCTTGGAGATAAATAAGGGGTCCTGAGAGTTTGCCAGTCATCTTGCTCCATCCCTCTGGGGCTCTGGGTACAGGTGTGGGTTGATTGGACGGCCCTCCCTAGCTCTCTCCTGCATCTCAACCACATTCTTTTCTTGTTTCCAGACAGAGATTACTGCAGTTTATGTGACAAGCAGCCAATTGGGAGACTGCTTTTCCGGCAGTTCTGCGAAACCAGACCTGGGCTAGAGTGTTACATTCAGTTCCTGGACTCAGTGGTAAGTCTCTGCTCCTGGGGAGGCCCTTTGGTCCTCTGTGATCAATGATTGTTTTTGCCCAGAGGAAAAGATAAACCATATCATTTAGAAGGGTGAAGAATGAAATTGTTGCTCAAGAAATTTCCAGACTTGTCCGCAAGTGTGCCTCAGCCGGGTGATCATGGATGGGCCACCTCCCTCTCTGGGCCTCAGTTACTGCTGCTTTAAAGGGAAGCCCTGTCAGTTGTCTGATTCTGGGAGCCTGGGTTACTATGCAAGGCAGCGCCTGGGGAAGTTGGATAACATCCCAAGGTAACACTTAGATTCCATGACCCCTCCTAGCTGAAAACCCATTTTCTAAAATTCCAAAGCTTGTGTTTGTGTTCTTATTTACTGTCTACTTTTCCACTAGAATGCAAGTTCCCTGAGGCCAGGACCCTGGGCTTCCCATTCACCCCTGCCTAGAACAGAGCATGGCACATACAGGCTTTAAGTAAACATCTGTGTAATGAACCTGTGTTGGCCGTTTTAAGCCAATCTGACAGTTGCTGGCTCCAGCAGCTGCTGACACGTGTGGCTGTGTTTGACACCATATGGAGACTTCCTTCGGATTTACCAGTCATTGACTGGTTTAACAAATGGTGCTTGATCTGCATGGGCTTTTAGGACAGGACATAGGAATATGCAGGAATTCCTCAGCACTCGTGCAGGAAGACAGGGCACCTCAGCCTGGCAGACTGCCTTTTGGGTGTCTATCCAAGGAAGGTGGACTGTGGGTGGGAGGGCAAGGAATGGAGACCAGTCATGAAAAGAATGGGGTATTTCCAGGCACCCCTTCCCAGGGCAGGGGACCAAAAGGTGGCTATTTCTTAGAGGCCCCAGTGCCACCCTTGGCTGTAGCCATCCGGACCTCTATCTCGGTTTGGGGGACAGTCCTGTGGGGCCCAGATTTCTGTGTCTGCTTCAAGGTCTCAGGGTGGATCTCTAGATTTACAAACCAAACTGCCCAGTGAGTGTCTCCGCCAGAAGTCATGTTACCCCAGATCCCCAAACCTACCAGGCCTGACATGTTCCCTTAATCCAGTGACCAGCACCCATAGTCACCCAAGCCTCAAATCTTTGCAATGTCCCCAGCCCCTCCCTCTTCCTCATCTCTTTCCCCATCTAATCCAGGACCATATGCTTGATTCCTTGACCCCTCGCAGACCAGTTCCCCTCCATTGCCTCTGTCTTGGTTTTAGTGGAGGCTCTCAGCATGTCTCACATAGTGACTACAATAGTTTTCAACCTTGGCTGAGTAACAGAAACACCTGGGGAGCCTTAAAAAAAATACCAATGCCTGAGCTGAAGCCCAGTCTCATTAATTTGAATCTCGGAGGGGGTGGGGGGCTAGTAGTTTCGTAACTTCTCATAATTTCAAACTGTAAAAAGTAAAGTTGAAGAGCAGTATATGCACCCTTCACCCCACTTGAACCATTATGAACTGATGGCCAGTCTTGTTTCACCACGTCCTCCCCGCTTATAGCATTTTGTAGCACATCTCACACATATGATTTCATCTGTGAGCATTTCAGTTCAGTATCCCTGAACAATAAGGGCTCTTTCACACACACACACAAATCACCACAATACCCTTAGTGCAGCTAAGGTAAAAAAGTAATTATTATCGTCAAATATTAGCGTTTAAATGTCCAACTTTCTCATACTTTCCATAAATGCATGTTTTAACAGGTTATGACTGTTGCTCCTTGTTCATCCAGAAGTGTCCCGGAGCCTGAATTCTGCTCTGTCACTCCATATGTCATGCAATAGGTTTCTCTGAATTGCTTGTAAATTGCTCATTGAATCGAGAAACTTGACCAGATTCAGTTTTAGTTTTTTTGTCTTTTTGTTTTGGCAGGGGGCAGGGTGACTTCATATGTGGTTTTTTGTTCTTCCATCAGGGGACATTACTCTCCGCTTGTCTTTCTGTTAGAGATGGCAGCCGATTTAGGCAGTGCCTAAGTGTGTTGATTCATTAGGGATTGCAGCACGGTGACATTCTCATTTTGTCATTCCTTCTTCATTTGCTGACTGGGAAACTTCCTTTCAATTACTGTTTGGTTACCCGGTGATTAAGTTCATGGAGGGGTTGCTTCGTTCTTTCCCTGTATTTATGTTTTTCTAAGTACCAGATCGGTTCACTAGCACCCTCCAATAGTAGTAACCAATTTGTTTTAAAGGCGTGGATTTAAACACGGATGCATTTTGATGTGTGGTGGTCATTATCCTTACTGATGCTCCATGATCTCATCGTTGGCCACCAGGTTGGCTTCTGAGCCCTTGAGAGGACCCAGTAGTCGTGGGCAGCTCCTTGCTATCTGGTAGGATGCGATGTCTCAGTTCATCTTGTATCTTTACTGCCTAGACTTAGAGTCCACTGTATCTCCAAGGAGCTCTGGTTCCTTTACTGGGAAATGGGACTTGGAGACCACAGTTTGGCACTAGGGGTGCTCATTACCCATGGATTGGCCCGGATTTCTAATAGACATTGGCATTTTTCAAGTTGCCCACGATTGTACTGTGTATCCAGGGTTGGGAAACATGGACATCCAGGATAAAGTCCCAAGTTCTGAGGCTGAATACCAGGCCTTCCACTGCTGGGCCCCCACCTGCACTATTCATCCTTGACCTTCACCCAGGTCTTTCTTGTGCATTTTCTGACTTGCCACCACAGAGGTTGAAGCCTCTCGGCCCTGGCTCCCTCACTCCTGATGCCTGAAATGCCCCCACGTGCCTCCCAGGAGAATGCCGGCTGGTTCCTTGTTCTCTCATGCTCTGCTCTCAGAAGCCTTCCCCCACCACCCCTCCCTGCAGTGCCCTCTGCCCCAGGTGCTGGCTCCAACACGCACTGGAGCCTCATTATTGGGCAGTGCTAGAATGGTGTATTGGTCGGGCATGCAGCTTCCACAGACAGACTGAGGGAGCAGTGCTGGCTCTGGGTGGGTGCCAGACCCCTCTGTGAGAGTTCGCCAGGGGAGTGTGTGGTGGAGAAGCAAGGCAGGCAGGAGACCAGCCAGCACAAAGGCCTACAGGCACGGCATCTGTGGCTGGAATGGAGGAAGCAAAGGCAGAGAGGGGTCTAGGAGAGCTGTTGATTATGCAAGACCTTGTGCCATTAAAGAACTTTGACTTTGAGTGAAATGGGGGGCCCCTGGAGGGTTTTGAACAGAGCAGTGGCATGGGCTGACTTAGGTTTCTAAAGGATCCCTCTGGCACCTGTGTTGGAGGGGAAAGGCCGGGCGCAGGAGCTCTTATAGGCAGCTGCTGTCGCAGTCCAGGCGAGGGATGATGGTTGCTCAAGCCAGTGAGGAAGCATTTAGCGGTGGTGAGAGTGGTTGAATTTGGGGCGTGTTTTGGAGGCAGAGTTAACAGTATTTTTGGATGCACTGTGGGTGAGACAGAAGAGGTACAGATGACTTCAAAGTGTTGATCTGAGCAGATGGAAGGATGGAGTAAGGGAAGGGCTGTGGGAGGCGCGTTTGGGGGAAGACCAGGAGCTCCGTTTTAGGTACTCTCAGCTGGAGTGTCTCTTGGACAACCAAGTGGAGATGATTGAGGGGAGATGGACATTCAAGTCTGGCATCTGCAAGAAAGGTCTGGGCTGGAGATGGAAGATTGGGAGTTGTCAACATATAGCTGGTATTTGGGGCCGTGGGCTGGGTGAGCTGACCAAGGAGATGAACGTGGAAGGAGAGATGAGGACCAAAGACGGAGCCCTGGACCAAGGCTGCTCCCCATTTGGAAAAGATGAGGCATCGCCAGCTTTGAGACTCGTCTAGAGAGTTGATGAGGCAGAGCAGGGCAAGGCTAAACCCAGGAGCCAGTGGAATTTTCCAGCCACGTGTCTTGTTAGACACTTATAGTCAGTTTGAGGAGAAAAAAAAAATCCAATGGATGCCCATTTTCATTCTGGTCGTGCAGACGTTCCCTTTTGCTGGGCCAGTACCAAGAGCTTTTTTTCTGGAAAGGAAATGTGAGTCTGGCTCCCTGTGTTGATGCGACAAATGTTCTTTACATACGCCTTAACGCGGCCGCCACTCATAGAGGCTGGCCCTGCCCCTCGCGTTTTGTCTGCATCTCTGGGAACTAGCAGGGCCCTTTCATCACCCATCTTGACGTCAAATGACCAGCCTTTGGAACACCTCTTTTACGCAGGAAGACTTTATTGAGTTTTCCAGGGCTGGCGCAGCTCTCGTCTGAAATATGTTTTTTCCTTCCATCCTGACTGGATCTCCAAGGAGGCAGCATACAGCCCCGGTGCTCCCTGGCTCAGCCGGCACCATCCACACCGTTCCCACCTCTGTGTTGAATTTCTACCAAGTGGGGTTTATTAAAAATAACCCGTCTTCGTCAGGCTCTGACGTAGTCCCCGGGAAATGCTGCTGTCCCGCACAGTCCTAATGTCTGAGTCTCTCAAGTCAAGTCTCTCAAGTCAAAACCATGGCTCTTTTAAAATGGGGCCTGGGTGATTGGGGGGCAGCAGAACTGTTTGTGTATCATTCACAGGGTAATTCAGCCCTTAGTCTTAGTTGTCAAGGGCCTCCTGGGAGCCTGAGAAGGACTCCTTCATTGCCTTACCACAGAGAAATGGGGTTAGTGACCAAAGTCAAAGCCGTGACTTGATTTGGCCTCAAAGAAGATTTGCCCACCTGGTGAGGGGACCAGAAGAGGCTCCAGTGTCAACCTCCACAGGCCAGTAGGGTCTTTCCACAGACTTAGATTTGATGTACTTCTCTCACCTGGTTCCGGGAGCCCAGATGCATCCCAGCTCATTTGAAACCCTCCTGTCCCCTCACTTGGGTGTGACTGAAAGTTTTCAGGTCTCTTCTCTTTGGGGTTAGGGGAGATTTGGCAGATACTCAACCAGTTATTTAGCACTTATTTCCTGGATGTCTCCATTATATCATACTCTGTTCTAGCATTCGGAGACTACACACTGAGTAGGAGAAGAAAGTTCCTGCCCTCATGGAACTTGCTTT